AGACGGCGAGTTCAACAAGTTGAAGATACCCTATGCCGGGGAGGAGTACCGGTTGGTGCAGTTGAAATCCGATGACGCTCTTTGGGTGTTAAGGAGGGCTACCAAGGAAGGACTTGGGAACGTTGAAGGCATCCTTGTAGTCTATGTGGACGACCTGGCATTGTTTGCGGAACAGGGATTGGCTCTCCAGTTCATCAAGGTTGTGCGGACCCTCTGGAAGACGTCGGAACCCGAGTGGATTCAGGATTCGGCGGTGACTTTCTGTGGATTGGAAATCGCGAGATCGAGCAGTGGTTATCGGTTAGCCCAGACAGCCTACATTCGGGAATTGCTGCAACGGTACAATGTGACGGAGGACGCTGCGGTTCCTATTTCTAAGTGGGTAGATCCGGACCCCCCAGGGAGCATATCTCCCGATGAGATTAGAGAAGCTCAAGCAGTGACAGGTGCCTTGCTATGGGTTTCGACCCGTACGAGACCAGATATCTCGTATGCAGTATCGCGCTGTGGACAACAGGCCACGAAGGCGCCACAGGTTTCCCTGAGTGTGGGTTTGCAAACCCTTAAGTACCTGCGGTCTACGATTGAGTTTGGCATCGAAGTGCCCTTTGAATTGGGTAGTCCTTTTGCTGAGCATGGATTGCTTGCGGTCCCGCGATCGGAGAAGGTGCTCGAGGTTTATTCTGACGCATCTCACAGTCCGGGGGGCGATCGTTCAATGCAGTCCATTATCATCCTGTGGCACGGGGCTCCGATCGCTTGGGAGACGACGAGGCAAGCTTTCACAACGCTCAGCTCCGCAGAGGCGGAGCTGGTCAGCATGATCCATGCGATCCAGCTCTCTGAATCGATCCAACCGCTCCTGGAAGAGTTAATAGAGGAGGACTCCACAATTTCACTTCTAGGCGACAACCAAGCAGCTCTTAAGTCCTTTGAAGAGGTAGGGGCATCCTGGAGGTCAAGACACTTGAGGATGAGGGCCGTAGCTGCCCGGGAGCGGGTAGCCGCTGGGATCCTGCGTGTCTCTTATATTCCGGGCGAGCAGCAGCTCGCAGACCTTGGAACCAAGCCACTTAGTAGGATAAGGATACTACATTTGCTAAGCCTTGCGGGGATACGGGCTGCGAAGGTAAGCACTTCAGAGGTTGTTGCGGCTAGGGCGTTAAGCCGAGGGATGAGTAGTTCGACTGCCGTTTCTGCCGAACTTCTGGCAGGCCTCGCGTTACTGGCAGTGATCCCGCGTGTGAAGGGGCAACCGGAGCCCGATCTTCAGGAGGTAAGTGGTTGGTTGCGCTGGGCTGTGGCCTGTGTAGTGACCGTAGCGTGTCTTCTGCTGGTTGGGTGGTTCAGGGCCTCATTTGGGATTCCAGGTTCCGGGGTCGTTTTGGACTGGTTCTTTGGGGATCGGTTTGCACCGGTAGGAGAGCCTGAGAGCTTCACGGAAAGTGGATCAGCGAGCCCCACTGAGTCGGCCGAAGGCGACGAGTTCTCTGAAAGGGAATGGCAAATAGCTCAGGCCAAATTAGAAGATGTGGAACGTAGGTCGGGGTTGACTTTTGTTCAGCGGGCTAGGTTGCGTAAGCAGTTGGCCGCCGGAGGCGAGGTTGACATTCCCACCTTTCTGCAGAGATTTGGATCTATCCCATCGTGGTTTTCTGGAATTGAGGAAGGGGATGAAGTACCCTCTTCTAGCGGTGCCCATGAGGTGAATCCACCAAGCAGACCTGGACTAAGTGTAGAGGGCCTGGTGACATTGTTTACGCAGTTCGGAGATTTGCTGGTAGGGTACCTGGGGATTCAGTCGGTAGAGTGGCTCCACCTGGGTTGGGCTGCTGGGTTGCTGTGGAGAAATCCGGTTTTGAGGATAGCGATTCAGCTCGCCAATACGGGGGTTCTTCAGGAGGACTTTGAGGACCAAGAGTGGGAGATAGAGGTTCGTGCTGTTCCTGGGGCTAACGGACTTCAGTGGGTTCCTGTACGTGTGCGTGCTTGTCCTGAGGTAGGAGGTTCAGGCCTTCAGGAGGCACAGGGTCCTTCGGATTCAGAGGTCCAGTTCAGGGGGAGCACAGGTCTTCAGGAGGCTCAGGGTCATTCGGATTCAGAGGTCCAGTCCAGGGGGAGCACAGGTTCAGGTGAGGTTTCAAGCGGAACTCAGAATAGACCAGAGCCGGCGAGTGTTGGGACCGCTGAGATTCCGACACCTAGGGTACAGATTGGGGGTAGTTCGTCTTCTCATGCCATGCAGGTTCAGCCGTTTGAGTCGGAGGGGCTGTTCTACGAGGATTACTTGTCTCAAGAAGGGTCTCTAGATGCATGGCCATTAGTCGGGACCTGGCTAAGGGTGCATTTTCTGCTTCAGCTTTTCTCGTGTGTGGGTGAAACGTTGCTGGAGTTTCTAGGATTGCGGAGTAGGGCCCTGTTGACGGTGAGGACTGCGTCTAGCGCTGTGAGATTTGGTCTGTATGGAGCAATAGCGGATTACCTTCGACAAGGTCCTGAAGCTTGGAGGTATGAAGGACCCCAGTGGCTGGAAGCGATAGAGGCTTTCGTACTGAATCGGACGGCTGCTGTTGAGGGTGTTGTAGAAAGTGCGACCTCTGACAGTCGAGGCTCAGTTTTTCCGTATGTGCTCTGGGCACCAGGTCGTCGCGTGCATTATTTGTGGCGAGTGTTTGCCGTAGCTGGATATGAGCTTCTGTGCCTCTTAGGAACACGGGTCAGGGAAGTTGGGTTGATTCGTTGTGTTGCTCGGGGTTTTTGGGAGCATTCGCTCTATGCCATGATTTTGTGGCTGAGAGCAACTGGGCCACTTTATGTAGCTGACGGCGAGCAAACTCGTGATGCGGCTGAGGCTTATGTGCAGCAAGGGGACCGAGTGTTTCCCTTCGGAGCAGTAGATGCCGCAGACCGTGAGGACGTTGACGATGACCCAACTCTAGATGACAGACCGTTGTGGCCCACTAATGTAGCTCAGGTGCAGAGGGTTGTGTATGGTTTGGTTGCGGAAGAGTTGTTGGGTCAAGGCGGTTCCTCGTCTAGTGAAAGTTGATCCACCACGGAGCCCTCAGTAGCTGACGTGAGCTCGCAAGCTTCGGGGAATGAGTTGGAGGTCCGGTCAGAGGCACAAGGTGAACCTGTTGAGTCTTTGGTTTCGGGATTGCCGACTACCGTTTACGAGGCTTGTGAGGGGCGTCTTCTAGTGCATTACGTAGATGATGTACTTACGGTACCCCTACCGGGGTGGAGTATAGAAGCTGTTGAACAAGTGGTGCAGGGTCTCTCGAGTGGAGACTGGACAGGCTTCCAACAGGAGCTAGAGGTTGGAGACCTCCGTGAGTCTGCTGATGGGAGACCTGGATCTTCAAATGATCCGCCTCGACGCTCCGCGAACTTTCGGCTCACCATGTCATGGCCAAGGGTACTCATGTGGGTCTTGATTGTATGGTGGGTTTTGATTCAAGGGGCCAGCGCGGAAGTAGGGTCGTCGGTTGTCCCTGGGGATTACGCTTTCTCTGAGGACCTTATCTGTATGCCTCCCGAGGGGTTGCCCGGACCCTACGAAAGTGCAACAGGGGATTCGGTGACCGAGGGTTGTGATGGTTCTACGTTGCTATGTGCTAGTGTGTGTGTGTTGCTGGTTGGAACCTGGGAATTCGGAAAGAGATCCCTCCGTTACTGCTGGCTGCAAGAGAAGGCCCTGATCAACTGTGCAACCCAGACTGAAGAAACTGGATTCATTGAGTTGCCTTTAGCTCCTGAGATTCCACATAGGGATAGGATTTTGTTTGCGCTTTGGATGTCTGGGCGAGCAGTTGACGTAGAGGGATATGACGAAGAGGTTCAGGACAGCTTCCATTGGTTGGTAGGGGACTATCTTATGCGCCTTGAAAGGGGTAGTCAAGCTTCGAGCTCGGACTGAGTCTCTTGGTCGTATCCGTCCAAGAAAAGAAAAGGGATAACGAGGGCCAGTAGCCTTTTTTAATGAGGACTATTCTCTTCTGTGAGGAGATTGGAAAGCCTTGAGCAAGAGAGCTGGGAAGCCCTGTGTTGTAGTCTGTAGGGGTTGATAATAGCCCTGAGGGTCTGGGGTAGGTTAGTATAGCAGGGTTACCCGAAGCTCTTGATAACGCGTTATGGATGTTGGGTTCTCGATACGAATTTCCTTCGAAGAAGGATTCCGGCAGGAGACCGGGGTTCGGATTTGAGAAGAGTTTACACCCAACTTTTGTCCGTTGCCCGTGGGCTCGAAAACATGGTACAGTGGGCGTCACTCCTAAATGCCGAAGAAATCTACTTTTCCTTGCACAAACCACTCTGTCACTCTCCTTTTGGAAAGGGGAGTGAGGGGGAGTGCGTGATTGGAGTGATGCCCTGCAGTATAGGACGCATGTTGTGCACCGCGAGGCTGTTCTTTTCTCGAAGAAAAATCGATGCATCTCTTTGGAGGCCCCAGGGTTCAGTGTGTACCTTAGGGTTTCTTATCTGTTTAACTGATCATCTTTGGCATAGTTCACGTACTGGGGCTTAGGGGTGTTTAGCGCTTGGGGCACACGTGGGTCTTAGAGAGGAAAAGGGCAACACAAACATAGAGGCTTGCCCGCGCATAGTGACGGCCTCTCGGCCGGAAACTGTGCAGCAAGTCGGTTGGCTCCCAAAACCCAAAACACCCGAAACCCCAAACTGTAAGCCCTAAACTCGCTAAACCCCGAACCTTATTGGGGTTTAAGGTTTAGGGTTCAACCCTAAACGCTAAACTCTCTGAACCCCAAACCTCCCTAAACCCTGAACCCGAAAGAACCGGATTGCCTTGCCAGGCTTAGGCTCCCTGATCAGTGAAGAAATCCCTGTGATTTCATGTGGTTGCGGATCTTGAGACCCGAGATTCGGAAGCCTCGATACCTTAAAGCGCCGAGACCCAGATCCGGAGCTCCGAACACGCGCGCTGCCCCCCAGAGTAAGATCAAACTGACCTGACCCCAAGCTGGCAGCATCCAAGAGGCTGCCAGCGCATCAAGCTGCAGATGGCTGGGCGACAGTAGGCCAAGCGCTGCCAAATCAGAACTCGTCCTCCGGTTGCAAGTGCTAGAAGCTTGACTGGCAAATTCGTGACACTGCTGCTCGTTGTTTGCCACATGTGACTCTACAAAAGTGCACTTTCACACGAAAGCCTGCTAAGGTTCTCGCCTTGCAAAATAGCTCTGCCATTGGAGTGGGCCGAAATCATCACTTAAGCTTAAGTGTAGGGGTTCCTCATAGCCCGAAGGCTCCTCATACGGCGGCGCTCAGCTGTACTCTGAAATTTTGCCGTTGCAACTGCATGCGCCAGCACCGTGCTTTGATCAGCCTTATGGCTGTAGTCGCCCTGACATCTATAAGCTTGCTCCGAGTCTGATGGCGCTTACCATGACTTACTGAATGGAATCGAGGAGTGGAGCGGGAGCTGGCGTGGGGGAGCTTGTAGACTATGCTGGAATGGCATGGAAAAAAAAGGGGGGGGAGTGGGGCTGCAGTGGAGTGACGCCGGAGTGGGGAGTTGAGTTGGAATTGAGTCGAGGTTAGCACTGTTCGGACAGTCCCCCAGAACAGCTGCCAGGGCACTTGTCTTCACCCAACGCGGGCACCCTCAGCTTGCCAACCCAAACGAACTTGACACAGGCGCAACCCTGAGACGCATCAATGCAGACAAACAGCCGGCCCACAGGGATTGGATGTCGATACCTCCATATTGCTCCATGCATTGAAGCAACCAAAGTGTCTATTATTCAAAGGGCATGACCTCTAAGCGCAAATATCTATGTTTCTCGCTCTGTCTCCCTCTCTCTCTCTCTCTCTCTCTCTCTTTCTTTCTCTCTTTTCTCTCCAGGCCCCTCAGAAACTCCTAACAAAATGTGATGCAGACCAGCCGCACTCGTCCCACAGGCCATGGTTTTCGTCCAAAACTTGCCATGACCACCGCAAGCCGAAGTCCCACACAGCATTGAAATACGGCTGCTCCACAATAAATTTAACGCGAGATCATGCGATCTTGCCTCATGGTGCCGCTGAGTCTTGCTTAATGGTACCAACACGTGCGAATCTGACAACACACACGCGATCGAAGAAACTGAGCCGTATGGTCAGCACAGCAGTCGCAAGCCAGCTGGGAACATGTCAAACAGCGCACCATGATTAAACTACAGACCTGGCACCAACACCTTTTTGCAAGATCACGCTGCGCTTCTCCAGGGTCCGTTGCTTCCAGGACGTTGGCCCTGCCTTTCCTGTTCGCTGCGTTACAGCAAAAAAACCTCCTCACCTTGCAAAACAAGCATCCGCGACACACAACACAGATTTTCATGGACAACTCACCTGCGCCGCCGCTGCCCCTGAATTCCATGAACATGCGTCCGAACTAACGCCAAAAATCGGGGAAGCGATTGCACCTTTGGTTTCGGCTGCGCTTTGGCCTTAGCCTTCGCCTTGGCCTGCGCAGTGCGACGGAAGCGCTCCAGGAGTTCCTCGAAGTCCGCGTTGAAGGTGGCCAACGCCCATCGCACGAAGGAGAGCGCGAACAGGCGGAGAAGCGCACGCTGCATGAGCCGATCTACCTCAAGCCCAGATGTACAAGAAACCAATTCATAGGCCGAACTGCGTTCCGCTGTGGTGGGAGCACCAACTCGTACCTCCAGAACCCCGCCGCATTTTGACAAGAGCACGAGTCCCATCCCAAGATGTGCAAGGATTTGCGACGGCTTGGCGGGAGCAGGATTTTTGGAGGCGGAAAAAGCACTCGCAGCCAAAATGTGCACGGCGCTGTGGCGGCAACACGACCGCGACAGTTGCAGGAAGCCGGAAAACAACTTCGAGTCTCGCAAAATTCAAAATGCCTTATTGAACTCCTTTCCATGGAAGGGTGTCGAGTGCCCGCGCAGGGAATGCAGCGACTTCGAGTGTTTGGACAACCAAACTGATCGCGGACTGCGGCGGGAGAAAGGATTAATATGTGACTGTGGAATGACACGATTTTGCGACGTCAGGGCTGATTATGAAACGGCGGCAGTCGAAACCGCCTGGCAATCGATGCTGACATGTTTAGTCTGTATAGTACCTGTCGGTCCGAAAGTTCGTCGCACTATGTATACGAACGTTGTTCACTTACATCTCTCGAACCCCTCTCTCTCATCGAATCCTGCACGGGTCCTCTACCCGCAACAATTACAGTATAGTATTACAACTTTTTCCGGTGAAGGAACTCCTCCACTAGCCGCACTAGCCAGGCTAGGGTATCCGTGCCGCGACCGATCCAGACCCACATGTCCAAGACTCGATTACAACAACATGTCCACAACATTCCGCAACAAACATATAAGGCAGCAGCCATAATTACCAGATGACATCAAACATAGCAAGGCCGCCACGCCTCAGGGCGTCTGGATCCAAGAAAGCAGTATTATAACGCATTCTACATCTCAAATTAAACTGTCTTGTCCTGCCCTCGCCTCAGTGCCTCAGCTCCGAGGCCTGATAAATACTCGCACTATAGCTTTCTACGATAGCCAGAATGCCTCCGCTGCTAGATCCTCCGTTCCTTTGTTGCAGCTTCTCTGCCGCAGCGCCGGCGGACTGCATGACTAAAACCTGCATGGCACTGTGGCTGCTGCAGATCAATGAATGAGTGAGTGAGTGAGTGAGTGAATGAGTGAGTGAGTGAATGAGTGGAAGTGTGAAAAGCGGAGGATTCCACTCAACTCTCGGTCACAAAGCCCAAGGCAACCAATCGTAGATCAAAGCAAAGCAGCGGAGCAATGCAGGACAATCAGAGATTACCGTAAGTTTGACGCTCAGCGGAAAGGAAACACCAACACTACCCTAAGTGAAGGCGGGCCTTTTGCTGGACCTGACGCAGAGCCGTCGGTCTTGAGCAGTCAAGCTGCGTAAGTGAGACAAAGTTGGCTTGAGTCCTAACCAGGTAGGAGAAGCACATGTACGCATGTCTGTGACAAATCACACCCCCCTCGACGCGAGCTCACGCGTGAGAAGAGCGGAGTTTAGGAAAGTCACATCCACTGATTGTGCACCGAGCCACACCTCTTCCGGTCAGCTAAGCTTGGAGCAATTAAGAACCATTAGATGTGGGTCGGCTTCTGCTTCTGGATCGTACCTATGTTTCACTTCTGTACATACGCAGCCTTTTTGTGATCGTCAGGCGCATAGCGATTTGCCGTATAATCGTTGACAATCGGATGTTCCATCGGATCTATGCGGGGTTTACACACTAGACTCAATGCGCTCAGAGCAGAGACTCGGCAGCATCGAGTGTCCGTGAAAAGAGAGGGACACACGAGGAAAATACCATGGCTAGCCATTGTACCCCTGTGGGTCTTCTCAGCGCGGCGCAGGCAAGGAATGCTGAGGAAGTAGCGGAAATTGTGTCATAGCCGGGTTTCACCATCAGAATCTGCCTGACCCTGGACACGTGTGGGTAATGGGTCAGAAAGACTCAACCGGATTCACCTTGCAGTGTCACAATACATCGCCACGTAGGTCGACGGTCGTTACCTACGAACTGTGGGGCTACGGGTACGGTCCTTATTTCCTCGTCCAGGACCGCCCCTTCCTTTGTTACCCTTATCGCCCTTTCCTCGGCCCTTCTCCTGCTTTCCTTTTCCTTTCTCGGCTTTCCCTTTTCCTTCGCCTTTCGTCGGTTGCCTCGTTTCATCAGCTTCATCGATGAGGCCTGCCACGTTGGAGCCAGTTCGGGACTTGCCTTTGGCCGTTGTTTCTTTGGCCGGGCCCATTGTGCGAGATCGTGGCTCAGACGAAGCGGTATCGGAGGGAGCTGGCGGCGCAGCGTCTGTTGTTTCAACAACGCGCTGCTGAGTGCGTCCCCGTGCCTCTGCACTCGTAATCACCCGACCAGGAGCTGGTCGTACAATTGAAGGAGCCCATTTCTCATCGCGGGGCGCCTTCGAGGGTGGATTCGATGCAGTACGAGTGTTAGGCGCAGGGAACTTAGGGTTGATCCGTTCTTGTGTAGTAGCGGATGTACCCCCGGGCGAGGCAGCTCGCCCTGCTCCCGTATTCTCGGCAGAGGAAGTAATCACACCGGCCGATTTCATGTTGACATCGTCATCGGGATTTGCATTCATCGCAATGATGACGTTGGCGGCTTTCTTCCTGACGACAGGAAGCGTATTCGGTGCATGATACATGCGAATAATATCCTCAATCGGTGGGTTGTCCAGATCTGGTTCCGGAACCCTGGTCTTCATTCGCAGTACCGAGGGCAGCTTCATTTTATCGGAGTAGGGTGCCCTCCCTGAGACCCTCAGCGTCTCCCCATCAGGGTGAGCGGCACTGTAGCCCGATTGCCGCTGCATCTTCCGAGTCGGTGGATTTGACGGCGGCGGCATTTCGCGAGGCGGGGGCGGTGTCGCTTCAGGAGCGACGCCACCGAGATGCTCTCTCCCAGGACGCTGGGTTGTCGGGCCGGCGCGGATCACTCGTTCCAGCTCACTATCATCTTGATCCTCGTCCTCTGCGGGTACGGGGATGGTATGAGCTTCGGGAATTGACGCTTGCCTTTGCGCGGTGGGTTGCACTCTGCGCTGAGGTGTCTCATCGCGTCGTCGTCCTTGGCGAGCTGCAACATCGAATAACTCGTCAGGCTCTTCCAGTTCGTCAGGCAAAGCTTCGAAGACATCATCCTTCCTTTTCATCAGTGTGCTCTTAGCATCGGGGAGCTGATCCTTCACTCCTTCGACAAGGTTGAAGAACGTCTTCTCGGTTGCGCGATCAACAGAGCAACGCACACTTTTCAAAGCACACTTGAGCCTACAGTCACGCACGTCGTACTGGTCGTGGAAAACAGCAAAAGGGGTTTCTACAAAGTTTGTTACCCCCCTTGGAACTCAGACGATCCACTCGAGTGAGTTCCACTCCAAACGGCGCTTCTATGAGCTGTTAGCCCATCTCTCCGGAGAGAACTGAAGTTCACCGAAAAAGCACTCTGTACACACCACAGCTTCAAACTACTGATGTCGGGCCTCTTCTTGCGGAGGGAAGGAGATTTTGTTCTAGTCCCGACCATCCCATACAGAGTAAAACAAGGACATATGTGAGCTTTGGCATCTTGGGGCCCTTTTCTTGTTCTAGGTTAGAGCTCACATCTTTACCAAAAGCGTGGTGACCAAAACGGCTCTTTACAGACATTTGACTGCTGCTAGAAACAGGCTTACGTCCAAAAGCAACCTCGGCACTTACAGGCCAAGAAGCTAAAAGGAAAACTCTACGCTCAAGTCTTTCAGGTTTCACGTTCACGGCTTACACTGCTTGCAGGCTTTGAGCTGCTTGTTCACTGCAACCTGGCGGTCGATCTTCTTAACATTGGATGGGAGATGACTCATCCAACGCACCACGTTTCCACACGAGACCTTGTGGTAACTCTTGCCGCGCTTCGCCTCGCCGATGATGTAGACCTTGTCCTCAGGATCACCGCGAGGATCATGAGGAACGTCCTGGACCTCATTCTCGACGTTGTGCTCCTCCTGCTCCTCGCCGTCGTAGTAGTAGCTCTGTGTGTAGGCTTCGTTGGCTCCCCCTTCGTCGTCACTGCCGTGTGCACCTTCAAAAGGACAAAGAAGCCAACGCTCATCTCCACCATCGCGCGCTGTAGAACTTGAGGGCTGGCTCGCCCTCCAACTTGTGTCTTCACAAGTGCCACCGGGCTCGCCATGGTTAGCGATGCCATCCTCAATGATTCCTAACTCCCGGGAGAACCAATGATGTACTCGATCTCGCACTTGGTTCATGTTGTCGCTGGAGGCGGTGGACTCGCGATTCCAGCGCCTCTTGGGCGCCATGTAAATCACCAGTCCGATCATGCACACCATCATCACAAAGAACATTGCGAAGTGAAGCTTCTGCGCACTCAGGCCGAACAGGAACTCAAACCTCGAAGTCGTACTCGAAGCATGGCCGCTCATCTGCGCAAACTGGCCGGTCACAACTCCCCCCTCGAGCAAAAGCGCTAAAGCTCTAAGGATTTGACCGGCTCCCATGTTGGTCGCGATTGGCGTGGCACTAACTTGGTTCACCATCACACTGTGGTTAATGCCGAGACCCATGAGGCTCATGAGATGATTCATCCTGGTACGCGGATGCGGCTTCGTCTGCAAATCAGCTGGGCAATCTTTGGTTGGAATGGCCTTCGTTTCATACACTCCTTCGTTGAGCGCTTTCTGCGCCCACAAGTACCCTAAGCTGATGTGTCGAGTTCTTCCTAGCCCTTGGCGTTGAAGGATACTTCTGGTAGCCGCATTGTCGACCATGTGCACCAACTTTACCGTAGCTTGGGAACCAACCAAAAACTGCAACATGTGCTTAAGGAATATTCCCTCCGAGAGTCCAAGCAAGGTGGCCATCAGCTCGGACTCGGCAGAACTGAGGCTGATAGTCTTCTGCACTTTGTTACCTGCGTGGCACAGGTTGCCGTTGAGGAATATGCAGAACGAAGATATCGATCTCCGATCTGAGAAGGCTTGGCTTCCCCAATCTGCGTCAGTCACTACCTCCAACACATGGTGTGCTCCAAACGGCATGTTGGGAT